TGCCAACGGACATTGTTTGGCGAACTGGACCCCTAATAACTGCCCAAGCCGATTCCCCCCTTTTACAACATCTGAAGGATCTTCTTATAACATCTAATGTAGACCAACGGTACTGACGCATAAGTATATTAGTATATTTGGTTTTAACATAGTATTTTAATGTTGTATTTATGATATATATGTATTTTGGAATTTTATCTGTTGCAAGCCACCCTGAGCCAGCCTTGGCTGGCAGGGCAGGATAATAAAAGTTTAACAAATAAGTAACTAAATAGTTTGGCAGGAGCTGGGGGCCAGAGACAGGCGCTCACTCTGTCACGCGGCACTCGGGTCTCGAACTGCCAAACTACCGACCTTCTGGTCTGCAGCTCAACGTCTTACCCTCTGAGCTACCGCGGCCCTAATATATTGTCAGGTAGCCCTGTCATAGCATTGGTACGTGGGGGTGATTTTCTCCTCCTCATTCCCAGCACTTCCCAGCACTTCCCTACTGAGCGCTATTGCTGTTTTGACCTTGCTGTCTCCAGCTGCAATTAGACGGCTGGGAACCTTAACGGCTTAGCCTGCTTGCTTCAGCCCGCACACGTGAAACATAATAATTGGCTTATGCTATTGGGGGGGGGGGGTTAAGTTCAATATTCCTATAAATCAGAAGAACCTATATTACAGGCTATTCCTGACACAAGCTGTATACGTGCTCATCTCCGTTTCCAAGCTGAAGAGCCAGCGCTGTCCGGAGACATTTCCGTGGTCATGTGGCCGGCATGACTAGACGCCAAGGCATACAGAGCACTGTTACCTTCCCACCGAAGTGGTACCTATTTACTGGACTACCAATAAACACTTATCTTCTAAAGAAGCCTTAGTGTGGTGTGACCTGCCTAGAGACCCTGGCATATACGGCCATATGAACATTCAAAACATCGACTGATACACACATGGGGGCCAGGCAGTTTAAGCACTGTCCTTGCTAACTTAAAGCGTGGGAGAGGCGGGAGGGAAAAAGTTCCAGACACCCACCAGCACGTGCCAACAGCGTCCGAGCTGCCAAGTCAAATTTGTGCCTCCTCGTCACTGCCGACCGGCCCCTCGAAGCCGGTCCGCTTCCAGAGGCCGCGTTTTCTGCGTGGTCCATGTTCTCGTGGCTGGAAGCACACAGGAGAGAGGAGAAACAGTGGGGATGAGGGCTACAGTCACAGACTCCTACACAAAACCGAGTCACCGTCTTCATCTGGTTCCTGTAACCGGTTTCGGTGCAGCCGAAGAAACTCGCGCTTTACCTTTCGCTGAAGCCTTCCTCCATTTCAGTGGCGTCGGCGGAAGGGATGTCTCCGGGAGACTGCAAGTAGCCCTGCTCGCTAGACTTCCCGCTGCCCCCGGAGACGACTGATCCGTGGCGTGGGTCCGCCGTTTCTTCCGACTGAGGCTCTTCATCTTCCTCGTTCCCGGGATGCTCAATCATCCACATGGCCAGGACTGTGATATTCTGGGCGTCCGCTTCCCCTCTGGCGCCTGAAGCAGAAGGAAAACGCACAAGTAAACCTCCAGTTACACCTTCCGTTAAAAAGGACAAAGAAACACGCTAAATATTGGAAAAGAAAAGAGATACCTTCAAAAGAAGAAATAATAAACAAAACCACTGGAAATGGCTGAAATGGATGAATTAACTTTAATTCTGAAAGGATATAAAGAGGAAAGCTTTGGAAGAAACATGGTCAAGACTTTACAATTGGATGGAAGAATATAATAAACAAGAAGCGGGACTCCGCGATACTCGCGGGGGGGGGAGTATGCCCCCCAGCCTGCAAAGCAGGAGGAGGTCCTCACTGAGGAGGAGGAGGAGGCCGCTGCAGGTGAGGCCAGCAGCAACAGCGGCAAGCCCTGCCTGGGCCTCAGCTGCCTGCCTGCCCAGGCTTCCCGCCCCCCTCGGCCAGGAGCAACTGCGATGAGCCCTGCATGGTTCCAAGCCGCCCACCCACCAAGGCTCCCCCGGCTCCCTCGCAGCTTGCAGCAGCAGCAGCAAGCTCCACCACAGTTCCAAACGGCAAGTTCATTCTCCACGTGTGCGCCAGAACGCAGTTTCAGTTTTGGGGGGATTTAAGTATCCCCGTATATTTTTTTAAAACATGTCAGATTTTTCTGCACACCTAAGTAATGCCTCAAGTGTGCAGGGATTTCTGTTCAACCTCCATGTGCCCCCAATTTGCGGAAATAAGTATCCGCACGAGCTGGAGACACTTGGCTATTAGTATATAGACAGGAAAGAAGACCCGCGAAACTTGCGGGGGGGGGAGCCGGTGGAGGAGGAACTAGCAGGAGCAGGTAAGCTCTTCCCCCCATCCCACCGGTTCCTCCATCTCCTCCACCCCTCCCGCTCGATCTCCCTCAACCCGCCTCCTCCCCCCCCGCTCCGAACCCAGGCCCGAGCGGCTTGCAGTTGCCGGGCCTCGTCGGTCCCTCCCCCACCGCTGCAAAGCGAGGGCCGCGCGGCTTGTAGCTGCCGGCCCTTGCCGTTCTCCCCCTCCCCCCCACTCCAAAGCGAGGGCCGCGCGGCTTATAGCCACCGGGCCTCGCTGCTCCCCCCCCCAGCTCCAAGGCAGTGGTGAGGCTGGCTGCAAAGCGTTCCCTGCGCATGCGCAGGGGACGCTCTGTCACTTTTGGGGGGATTTAAGTATCCCCCCGATATTTTTTTAACTTTTAAGATTTTTGTGCACACCTGGGTGCACGAAAATCTCCCCCCCCCAGGTGCCCCCGATGCATGGATTTAGGTATCCGCACGCACGGGGGCGACTTGGCTATTAGATATATAGATGAAACATGAATATAACCGAGACAGAGGACAGAAGAACATTTGCGATAAAATGTGCAAAGCTATGCCTAATAACATAAGGTGCAGAAACATTTCTATATTGAGAGAGGTATGGATTATGTAACAGTCCATTCAAAAAGGTGGCGGGATTCTCCCATGTTATGTTGTTTTGTTTGTTTGTTTATGTTTGCTGCTATAAAATAAAACTAGTATCCACACAAAAAAGGACAAAGAAACAACTGAATCTCCAGAGTTCACTTCATGGAACTCTTGACATTTCCCTTGACAAATGAAAACTGAGTTAAACCACTCTTCCTCTTTGTTCACAAGCCAGTTTCCATCTCTTGAAGCTCCAGAGATGAGCTGTGAATGTGCCCGGCGGCTGAAATGGGAAAGCGACCAGGACGATGGGACGTGCGTGCCTTGCAGGGTTTTTGGCCTCCCTTTTCGTGCCTAATCTCAACCTGTGCTCTTTCCCACTTCCCCTTATCCTTCATCGACTCAGCCGGGGCAAATGTTGCCATGTGTTTGACCAAAAATGAGTGTCAAACTCATTTGTTATGAGGGACGGATCTGACATAAATGAGACATTGTTGGGCCGGGCCCTGCTTGTCATAACATGTAATGCCAGGTAGCGGAGATACAAACTTTATAAAGGACACAAACACAATAAAATAAAAGCATGCTCAAAACATTAGCTCTGTAAGCTGCAAAGCTACTTTTGATTTATTGACATTCACCACAGAAATCTCATGCTCAGAGTTCTGAGTCTAGGACCCAGGTCAAAACATGAAATGGCTGAGTGACTAAGAGAGTCTGGCAAAGCAAGCTAGGATGCAGCAGCAGCAGCAGCAGAACTGGAAGCAGGAAATGGCCAGTTCCACTGCGGGGCTGATGGAAGCCCTCCGGGGGCCTCATCCGGCCCCCAGGCTGGGGGATCACTGTAGCTGGGATTATGACATCTGGATTGTGATGAAAAGACACTCACTCAGCACATACTCAAGAACACTGTCACTACGACACACATGCTACGGCCTTGCCCGGCCCACACTCAAAGAACACAATATCCTTTGGTCCTCCTGCTACGATTAGCTAACATGACTCGCTTCAGTATAAATTAATCATAAAAATGGGTTTTATTTACATCTTTTAAGCTGAGCACAGAATTCGGGCCTCCTTGGCACAGGAGTAGAACCAGGACCAGTGTTCCCTCTGAGCTGAGTCAGTGTGAGCTAGCTCACAGTTTTCTAGCCTCCAGCTCACACATTTTTGTCTTCGCTCAGGAAGGAGGGCTCCAGAGTACACTAATTTATGCGGCAGCCAAATCGCTCGCTCACAACTTTAATGCCCGTAGCTCACAAAGTAGAGTTTTTGCTCACAAGACTCTACAGCTTAGAGGGAGCATTGACCAGGACTAGCTTAGCTTCCTTTTTTTGGGGTGTGTGTGTGTGTGCATGTGTAGATGTGTGTCTGTATGTGCTTGTTTGCCTGGAAGTCATGGCAGCTTCTGGAAACCCCTAGTGGGGTTCAGACGTTTCTCAGAGAGATGGCTTGATATTACCTGCCTCTCAGCCCTGGTATTCCTTGGAGGTCTCCCTTCCAAGTACTTGCCAGCGTCGGGCCTGCTTAGCTTCCGAGATCTGACAAGATTGAGCTTGCCGGAGCTATCCGGGCCAGGACAGCTTCCTCTTTTTTTAAAACTTGAAGGAGATTGCACTCCCTCACACTGACACATGTTCCTCGGCAACGGACGGCTTACCTGTGGCTTCCATCGCTTTTGCAATCTGCCGGAGGGAGAACCCCATCTCTAACAACGGCACCGCAATCGCAGGGGGCGGAGGAGATGTTGAAAGGCGGCTGCTCGGGTCTGATAAAGCTGTGGGTTGGGAGGAAAAGACACTGTCATGGTGGATCGGCAGCACCCCTGGTGTTCGTCCTCCCGACGGTGCCTCTCGCTCATTTGATCAGTTAAGTGACAACCGTTTAAAAGCGGAGGAGGCTCACAAAATGCAGACTCCAAAGAGGAGGACGACAACAATGGATGAGCACGATCAAAGGACCCAGAACATCAAAGTCTGCAATTGCCGAACGCTTACTGATCCCGTCCGACTCTGAGAAATTATTTAGAACTTCTGGCTCCACAGATGAAAAGGTGTCGTGTAAGGAGACTGGTTCCTCAGAGGGACCGGAGAATTTGAGAAATCCAGCCCTTGTTCATGCTTGGAAATTACAGGGGGGGGGGGGAGAACGTGCAATTGAGGAAAGCTGTTGCTGGGCTCCCCCCCCCCTCACGGCCACTCTCCACAGAGAAATTAAGATACAGGCAGCACTAGAGAAGAAGAAGAGGAAGAGGAGGAGGAGATTGGATTTATACCCCACCCTTCACTACCCAAAGGAGACTCAGAGCGGCTCACACTCCTTTTCCCTTCTGATAAGAGCTGTTCTGATAAGAGCAGTTCTTGAAAAAGAGCCGTTCCTGTCAGAGCTCTCTCAGCTCCACCTACCTTACAGGGTGTCTGTTGTGGGGAGGGGAAGGGAAAGGAGTTTGTAAGCCCCTCTGAGATACCTTTGGGTAGTGAAGGGCGGGGTATAAATCCAATCTCTTCTCTTCTCTTCCCCTTCCCACAACAGACACCCTGTGAGGTAGGTGAGGCTGAGAGAGCTCTGGGAAAACTGCTTTTGAGAGAACAGCTCTGAGAGAACTATGGCTTGCCCAAGGTCTCACCAGCAGGTGCAAGTGGAGGAGTGGGGGATCAAACCCGGTTCTCCCAGATTAGAGTCCACGCACTTAACCACTCCCCCAAACTGGCACTTCAGAGACAACATGATGCAAGCTTATAACTAATTTATATATACTTTTGAAGTTGCAGAACACTTTACAATCGTTACCATGTTTCGTCCTCCAAACAACCCTGCAGATAAGGCCATCTGCGCTCCGGCTGGACACGTGGAGGATTCTGCATATCTTTGCCCAAAGCCACACAATCAAGCTCCATCCCCGCCCACCCAGATGCCATCCCACCTGACCGCCCGTGGGGAAGGCACTGGATCTCAGGCAACAAGCATCAGCACCTCCCACGGCACATCTCAGGACCAGAGCACCTCATCAATAAATGTTTTACGGGAGTGGCTCATGCTGTGCCAGTATTTCTGGAGCAGAGGAGGCAAGAATATCTTCCGACCACTGCTTAAGAGTTCCACGGTGTTGCAGGCTGAACTCACACTTCGATGCAGGTTTCAGAAGGCCCTAACAAAGCTGCACGAACTCGGGAAACAGTATCCTAATGCCCCTGTACGAATCCATGGAGCGGCCTCATTTGGAGTACTGTGTACAGTTCTGGTCACCACACCTCAAAAAGGATATTATCGCATTGGGAAAAGTGCAGAAAAGGGCAACTAGAATGATCAAAGGGTTGGAACACTTCCCCTATGAAGAAAGGTTAAAGCGCTTGGGGCTCTTGAGCTTGGAGGAACGACGGCTGAGGGGTGACAAGATCGAGGTTTATAAGATTGTGCATGGGATAGAGCAGGTAGAGAAAGAGGTACTTTCCCCCCTTTCTCACAGTACAAGAACTCCTTGTGGGCACGCCATGAAATTGCTGAGCAGTCGGGTTAGAACGGCTAAAAGGAAGTCCTTCTTCACCCAAAGAGTGATTAACACGTGAAATTCACGGCCAAAGGAGGTGGCGGCGGCTACAAGTACGGATGGCTTCAAGAGGGAATTGGATAAGCATCTGGAGCAGTGGTCCATCAGTGGCTATTAGCCACAAGGTATAGATAGGAACTCTCGGTCTGGGGCAAGGGATGCTCTGTCTTCTTGGTGCTTGGGGGGGGGGCAACAGTGGGAGGGCTTCTCGTGTCCTGGCCCCACTGCTGGACCTCCTGAGGGCACCTGGTATTTTTGGCCACCATATGACACAGAGGGTTGGACTGGATGGGCCATTGCCCTGATGCAACATTGGTTTCTTATGTTCTCTTATGTTCTTAAGTGCTGAGCCCTGCGTCTCGGGTCTCGCCTACCTGTGCGGTTGGTGGGCCTTGCGGACTGAGAGTCGGGAGAGGTGAGGCTTTGTCTCCGGCCCACCTCGTCGGAGGGTGACGTTGGCAAGGAGGAGATGGGAGGGGTCTGCGCACGCCTCGTCGGAAGCACCGTCGTCGTTGGGTAGCTTGAGAACATTTGCCTTTGGAAAAGGAATAAGCGTATCTAAACCAAGAGCAGGCAGGATGCGCCCAGCCTCCGAATTAAATTCCTGGCTCTCAGGTATCACCAGGCAATACCTACAATCTAGTAAGGAGACTTCTTATGCGCAGGGAGAGCTAGCCACACCTCCCCCTCGTTGCATCTCTCCTTGTCCAGCAAGCTGCTTTTTAGCCCGAGTGGAGTTTTAGAAACGGTCTGGGAGCCAGTGAAGAGAGGTGTTGAAGAAACAGCTCCGAAGTGTACTAGAGCTTTAGACCAGGGGTCCCGAACCCTTTTCGAACTGAGGGCACCTTTCTGGCAAAAGGTAGTGGGCCCAACCACAATGTGGCTGCCACAGGAGGTGGAGCAAACCATAAAATGTCAGGGAGTTAAAATTATGCATAACTGTAATAGTAACTCTTCAACGTTTCAGAGACAAACTGTTTAACAAATCAATCAGATCTCCCATGGCCAATCAGAAGCCCTGCAGGGCAAAACTCAAACCTGGCCCCACCCACTTTCAAAAACTAAGAAAGGTGATTGGTGGGTGCCACGTTGGACACCCCAGCTCTTGGGCATCAATACTGATTATCTGAGAAGGGCAGGGGTTATTTCCTGCAGGAGCGCACAGGAGCAGAGCTCCGGCAGTAAGGAGCCCAGGGGGCGGGCCCATGCCACAGGCCCCACCCCCTCCTCCCAGCAGCCCTCAGTCGGGCCACAAGGAGCAAGAAGCAGCCAGGTAAGTTGCAGAGCCCCCTCCTCTGTGAGGGCAGATCTGCGTCCCCCCCCACATAGCTAGCAATCCAAAACAGTCCAGTGAAACCTGAGCGATGGGTGTTGCCTTCTGACACACTTCTGGTGACATCAGGGGGTGCGGCATATGCAAATAAGTTATGCTAATGCGCTCCTGCACCTCTTTTCCTACAAAATGACCCCTGAAGAAGGGTATTCTGTGGCTTGAACTGGCTGGGAAAGAGACACTCTTGGAATGGGACCCATGCGTTCCTTTCTCACTTGCTCTCCTCCACACTATGTTCAGTTCGTTAAAATTTGCAAATACTGTCACAGAAAATGAGGATCTGTGCCTTAAAAAAGCCAAACACAGCCTCACGAAGCAAGCGATTAAAGCCTTCCCGAATAATCTGCAGGAAGGCAGATCACAAGTCGGCCTGTACCTAAGGAGGCTGAGAGGCATCACGCCCGGCGACTCGGAGGCAGGAACCGTTTCCGTGTCCGTGACCGGCGTGGTGGCCGTCGTGGTGTCTTCCAGAGAGCTGCTCATGAAAGAAGTCGTGCTGGAAGCGGAAGGGCTCGTTGTGACCGGGGTCTGGGCCTGCTGAGCTGGGTCGTTCTCTTCAGCTTGCTGGTCCACTTCTGCAGAATCAATTTTTCGTCTCATTGAGGGACACAGAAAGACACCCAGGCACCCGCAGCTGTTAGGAAGGACTCTAAAGTTTTGATGCTAAAGGTGAAGGCTGGGGTGGGGGAGTCACTGGCTGCTACTGCGTCACGAGGCAAACTCCTCCCTCTCACTGGAACTGGATCCCAGAAGATCCGGAGGCACCTCTTGAGTCTCAAACTAAAGGTTCACCTAGTCCAGCATCCAGAGGAATAACTTTGGGAAGTTCAACAGCGGGGCAGGAAGACACCACAGCCCCGCTGGTTGCCTGCCTTGGCTAGCTTTCAGCTGTCATATGGGAGGGACAGATTCCCTTTTTAACTAGGAGCACAAAATGATATACACTGTTCCCTCTAAGCTGAGTTAGTGTGAGCTAGCTCACAGCCTTTTAGCCTCCAGCTCACACATTTTTGTCTTAGCTCAGGAAGGATGGCTCCAGTCCAGAGCAAACTAATTGATGCAGCAGCCAAATCGCTCGCTCACAACTTTAATGCCAGTCGCTCACAAAGTAGAATTTTTGCACACAGGACTCCACAGCTTAGAGGGAGCATTGATACTAACACAAGGAAATTATTTCTTTTTCTCAATGACTTTTGAAAGCAGGAAAGCAGCCAGGGGAGGGAAGGCCGGAGCTATTTCACACTGCTTTCCCTCTGAAAAGTGCCACATCTCCCTAAGTCGTTTTTGCCCACACTGTGAACTGTCCCCCTCTCTCAATCTGATGTTCTTCCTCAAAATTTTGTGAAAATTTGGTCCAGAAGCAAAGGAATGGAACTACACTTGATTTGCGATGCTCTAACCCATTCGCAGAAGATCTGGTTAGTTGCTAGGATACCAGCTACCGTGGCCTCAGGGAAACTATTCTAGCAACGATGCCAATCAATACATTTGCTTGTCGTCTAAAATACAGCTGCTAAAAAACCTAACGCCCTGTTCTTTAATCATCTACTGACACATCGTACGCCAAAGCCGCATCGCAGGAAGAAAGGCTGCCTTTTCTCTGCGACAAAGGTCCCTACCTTGTGAAAAGAAAACCACACCGATAATTCACCAGGTTAACAAAAACAGAAAGATGGGCATTCTCATTCGACGCTGCTGAAAAAACACCGCCTAGTTGGCTGAAGCCCCCTCAACGCCGCTTGGAGGTCTCCAGGACCGAAAGCAGTTGATCCATGGACCCATGTTCCCTCTAACCTGAGTCAGTGTGAGCTAGATCACAGTTTTTTAGCTTCCGGCTCGCACATTTTTGCCTGAGCTCAGGAAGGAGGGCTCCAGAGCAAACTAACTTATGCAGCAGCGAGGCTGACTTCTCGACTGACCACAAAAACCTCAGCCCCAAACCCAGGGTAGTTGCTCACCCAGCAGATGGGGCGGGCTTCTGCTTGGACACGCATCTGCCCAGAATGCTTGGGGGGGTGTCCCCCCCACCCCACCCACTACTTGTGGGAATCGTCAGGGCACTGAGCAGAGGTAACCGAGATGGGTAGAGAGCTGCAGGGGCTGATCACGGCAAAAATGCAGAGGTCTTTAGGAGGAAGGGAAGGGGGGGGAGGCAGCTTGTCTGTCCCGCACTGACTGTGGCTCCCAGGAAGAAGCTTCTCTAAGTCAACGCAACACTGTCTTGACCAGCACCGGCTGGGAAAGCCGTAAGGCAGCCACCAGGTGAGAGAGCCTCAGAGGGAAAAGTGGCCAGTCCGGGCAGCGGCAGCTGCGCCCACATCTCCTTGACAGTGCTAATGCCAGGGAAGGGTGCCAAATCCTTCACTGCCCACCAGTTCTCTCCTAGTAATCACTGGGGGTGAGCGCTTTTCCCCCACCCAAGCAGCTACTGTCTACATTTGGAACAGAGCCCAGCTGGGGGGGAATTGTGGCAAAGGGGCACATTTGGAGAAGGGGCCGTGGCTCGGTGGGACAGCCTCTGCTTGGCATCCTGAAGGTCCCAGGTTCAATCCAAGGACGTCCTTCTTCACCCAAAGAGTGATTAACACTTGGAATTCACTGCCACAGGAAGTGGTGGGTGCTACAAGCATGGATGGCTTCAAAAGGGAATTAGATAAGCATATGGAGCAGAGGTCCATCAGTGGCTATTAGCCACAAGGTATAGCTAGGGGCTCTGGGGCAAGTGATGCTCTGTCTTCTTGGTGCTTGGGGGGGGTCAACAGTGGGAGGGCTTCTAATGTCCTTGCCCCACTGCTGGACCTCCTGATGGCACTGGTATTTCTGGCCACTGTGTGACACAGAGTGTTGGACTGGATGGGCCTTTGGCCTGATCCAACATTGGCGTCTCTTATGTTCTTATGTTCTTATGTAATGTTGCTGAAAAAACACCGTTTAGTTGGCTGAAGCCCCCTCAATGCCGTTTGGGGGTCTCCAGGACCGAAAGCAGTTCATCCATGGACCCGTGTTCCCTCTAACCTGAGTCAGTGTGAGCTAGATCACAGTTTTTTAGCTTCCGGCTCGCACATTTTTGCCTGAGCTCAGGAAGGAGGGCTCCAGAGCAAACTAACTTATGCAGCAGCGAGGCTG